TTTTTTTTTTTTTTTTCATGTTGTGGCGCATTCGTATAATGTTGTGGCGCATTCGTATATTCATCTAGATGTTATGCCCAGTAAAAATGTTCTGACGTCAAGTACTCGGAATTTTTTTTTGGTTTACTTCGTTTTTTTTTTTCTTTCCAGTGGAAACAGCAAAACCAGAAACACGAGCCACACGGGTGACGCGAAAAACCAATCAGCAGGCCCAGGAAGCAACAAAAGAAGAGATTGACCATGTGATTCGATTACCAAGCTTGCAAGTTTAAAATTCTTCCAGCATTACAATTCTGTTTTGGAAAAACAGTCCAGAAACATGAATTATGCTAGTGGAATAGCAATCTGATAAAGTCGCAGGGTACAGCTCTGTCTGTTGAGAGGTCATTGTTCGGATTCGTACGGAAGTATGTCTTGGAATCAAATATTGCATTTTTTTTTTTCCTGTACATCTGAGAGAAATTTCATAGCGTCAGAATCGACAAAGCTCTGCTTGGCCAAAATTTTGACCATGACCGGGTAAGTCAGCAGCTGCATCAAACGGTGGGAGGTTGTTAGCGCAAAATAACTATACAGCGTGGGTAAGATGACGAAAATGAGTGGCATGAGATGGTATGGTGCTGATCTTAATTCGTAAATAACGAGTTTTTTCTTTTGCGTAGTTTTGATGATTTACTCGGGATTTTTTAAGTTTAGCGTAAGATGGAAGGTCTCACCGTTGAGGTACATAGGAAAATTAGTGTTTCACAAGAACTACATTTAGTATGCGTGCAATCACTGTTTAAAAGTTGATATTCGAAGGTATACTGTTTTTCGCCCTTTTGGGATAAATAACTGTTATTTCAGGATGAGAAATCCAAAACCAACAAATGACAGTGATTTCTGGAAACTTTTTGTTCACTGAGAATTGAAACTTGTGATTCCTCTAGATAATTTATCAGAAGTGCTCTCCTTCATGTTCTTTTAGTATTCTAAATATACAGATAAAGTGCAATTCTCATAAATTTCTTGGATATTCTGTTACAATTATTGATTTTTTTTTTTTTGGAATTAAGCGAAGTGGTAAATTGGCACGGGTTAAAAAAAAAAAAAAAACTCTTGCTAATGAAAATAAAACAGAAATTATCAAATATGATATTGCCTGAACTGTTTCAAAATAATTTCTGCACTTCGTCCGAAAAAAGGAGTTATAAGAACAAGTCT